TTACTGGATAGTTTTGTTGTCTTTGAAAACTGTAGATTTCAGGGAGTTCATGAAAATAGGTCCTATATTTATAAAATTGGGACACTATTTTGCATCTTTAAAAATCATCAGTTCATTTCTTAGAAAAGTTCCTGCCATAACAAACAGTGAAGAATATGGTCAAATATTCTGGCTGGTGAACTACTACAGTCAAATCACAAATAGGTACAATTCTCAATGTATCTGTTCTTTTATGTATTTTTCAGTTATTATTATGAGCAAAGAAATGTTGAAACCTATTTTGTCATGATCTTAACACTTTTATAAAATTTGTAGTTCAGATAAGTGCATTAAATAATTGCTATAATAAAAGAATGTACAAAATGCAGTGGTTATTTACAAAGCCAAATTTCTGGTTCTGTTTGAAGGAGTTAAATGATACAATGACTTCTGACCTTGAGTAAGCGTTTTCCAGTCACACAAGTGGGGACAATGTATAACAGAGGTACTGAATTCCCTTTATAGTTCAGTGTAGCTGCATTGTATACTGAACAAGGAAATTGTAAAAGTAGTAATAGATGACTGAACAAAGACCAGTTCATGAAGGGTCTTGTATAGTACAGATTTTTATGCAGAACTTTTGGTTAGAATGACATCACAATGCTGTGTTTTTAAAAAAAATCTCTACAGCATGTATTGTTGGGAGCCGTGGCCGAGCCCCGTCGCCTTACTTGGCGGACGTGAGGCCTGTAGAAAAGAGCAAAGCCCGAGCTAGATTACCCCTCCCATCGAGTGAGCCAAGTTGGCGCCTGCTTCCTGCCCCCTGATTGCCCTGGCGACTTAAACAACCCGCTCTGTAAGATAGTCTGCCTAGCAACAACTGATGTTAGCCAATCAGCCCGCATCGCGCGCTTTGAATTGATTGGCCACTGTTACCCTATAAAAGTGAGTGCCTCTCCCGCTACGAGAGAGAAGCACAGAGAGAGATAGAGAAAGTCCACCGGTAAGAAAGGACTGGTGGCAGAGCAGAGGCCTCGCGGGGCCCACGCGGAGACAAATAAAGACAAGGTTGCATACCGTCAGAATCTGTCGTGTGTTTTTCCTGCCGGCCGGGAGCGACACCGACATCTAGTGGCCCGTACGGGGACTGATCAACCCCGAGACGCGGCGGTGGTGTGCAACGCTCCAGCGTGGTGCTGCCGGACAGGTGAGTGGGGGATAAGCCTGGGCTCTGGGTGGCGCGCACCTACAGGGCTTTTAGACTCCCCTCAGGCTCACGCGTAGGTGACGGGTTCTCTAAGTCACACGTGGTGAGTTACAGCCCTTAGAGGTTAAAGATGGGTAATTTACCGAGCGCGGAGGCGCGGCCCTTGGTAAAGGCCCTTAGAAAGCTTTTAAAAGCTAGAGACCTCAGGGTAGGTCAAAAAACACTGGAACTATTCATAGCAGAGGTAGATAGGGTGGCTCCCTAGTTTTTACCCATGGGGCATTTAAACCTGCCGTCATGGGAGAAGTTAGGCGGAGACCTCTCCTCGGCGGAATTGGAAGGCGATATTTCGCCGGCTATTCGCCCCCTGTGGGAAATGATACATGCGTGCCTTGAAAGGGAGGGGAAGGGGTTCCCGTCGGCAGTTAGAGACGCGGAAATCATGGACGCACGCAAGGCTTTTGAGCAGGCAAAATCAAAATGCTCTCGGGAGGGATCCGTCCAGGGGGAAAAGATCCAGGAAAAGATAGAGGACACCCAAGCTCTGGAGTCCTCCAACTTAGATAGCGAGGAGGAACCAAAAGGTGGGGCAAAAAGCCGAGAGGCCAAAAACCCCTATGCCGAGTTGCGCCGCAAATTGTGTGCATGCGCCGCCCGAGAAAAGCAGAGAGAGGAAAAAGGACCCCCGAGCGCTCTCTGGCGGGGAGGAGATAGAGAGCCATCCGCTCCGCCCTGGAGCTCTTTTCCAGAAGCGGTTCCCCACCGAGAGGCCGCTGCAGGGGACCCCCCCTTCTCTCAGCCGGCACAGGAAGTGACGCCCCGTTCCACTCTGTCGCGACCGCCGTCCTATGACGTCGCGCCGCGGGGCGGACGGTATTTTCATGGGCGGTTATGGAAGGGTGAACGATGGTTCGGAGGGGATCCACCGATGCAAGGACTAGATTACGGTCATTATGGAGTATATCCTGTGCAAATGGCCCCAGGCAAAGGGCGCAATGTTTGGGAACCGTTTAAAATAAAACAGATTAGAAAATTAAAAAGCGCTGTCACGACCTTCGGGCCCACAGCTCCTTATACCATAGCTATGCTAGAAAACTTGTCTTCTGGGCCGCTCACCCCAGCGGACTGGACCCAGTTGGCAAAAGCATGTCTACCCTCAGGCAGCTACTTAGACTGGCGAGCATGGTACGCAGAGTTCTCTGCCGAGCAGGCTGAGAGAAATGCTGGTCGAGGAAACAGGGCCTGGGGATTTAGCCCAGCGGCATAAGCGCCTGCCTTGTAAGCAGGCAATCGCAAGTTCGATCCCTGGTACCGATAAAAAAAAAAAAAAAATTAAAAAAAAAATAATAAAATAAAATAAAATAAAATAAAAAACAAAAAGGGGGAGTAAGCCAAGGCCTACCCCCAAAGGCACGGTTAAACTTAAACAGTGAAAATTGCTCCCCAGCTATGGCACATTGTACCCCATCCCCCAAAAATAAAGGATGGGTTAAATGGAAAGATGTCCTGACAGGACAATGGATGGGCCCGGATCCGGTAGTCAGCTGGAACCGAGGTGCGGTTTGTGTTTTCCCGCAGGAACCGGGACGAGAACCATTGTGGGTCCCAGAGAGGTTGACGCGACAAGTCCCTCGACTGAAGATCAGGCCTGTTCCACCAGAGGCCAACCGCAGACCCAACAACAAGATGAGCCCTAAAAGAACTGCAGGACAATCCCTTTTTGGGGGCCTGGAACGGCTTGCTCCCCTATGTGCTACCCTTGTTAGGCCCTCTATGCTCCTTGTTCTTGCTCCTGCTTATAGGACCATTCTTGCTCCGATGGGTTACATCATTTATTAATGGGCGCCTTGCGGCGGCCCGGCGTCAAGTACGCCTGGTTGCCCATGCGGCCCTGGCAGCAGCCCGTGATGGGCACAATGACCCCCAGGCTTACGCATGGCTCGCTCGACTGGCCTACGACCGGGTCTAGATGTGGCGGGTCTTCCGCATTCCTTCCCTATTGACACCACACAGCAGGGTAGGTGAGTCAATGACGGGTAAGAGCGTGCCTCCCCAGCACGACTCGACCTAAGCCAGGCCCTACCCCATACTGCACGAAAGCCGCTGGATTACTAGAATCTGCCCAGATCTAGATGCCTCTCCGAGGGGATCACACGGAGGGGCATGAGTGCATGCCTATGTGCATCCAGGTTCCGTCCAGTTCACTCCTGGCCGTGGAAAAAGGACGAGGGTCTCAAGGCCTTGGTGGACCCGGGGACGGCCGACCAGGGTCCAAGCCAAGGGCCTACGGTGGGCCTCAACACAGGGCATAAGCCTCTGCACTCGATCCAGGGCGGGCTGCGATGCATATATTCATTCAAAATAAATAAAATAGGGGGAGATGTTGGGAGCCGCGGCCGAGCCCCGTCGCCTTACTTGGCGGACGTGAGGCCTGTAGAAAAGAGCAAAGCCCGAGCTAGATTACCCCTCCCATCGAGTGAGCCAAGTTGGCGCCTGCTTCCTGCCCCCTGATTGCCCTGGCGACTTAAACAACCCGCTCTGTAAGATAGTCTGCCTAGCAACAACTGGTATTAGCCAATCAGCCCGCATCGCGCGCTTTGGATTGGCCACTGTTACCCTATAAAAGTGAGTGCCTCTCCCGCTACGTGAGAGAAGCACAGAGAGAGATAAAGTCCACCGGTAAGAAAGGACTGGTGGCAGAGCAGAGGCCTCGCGGGGCCCACGCGGAGACAAATAAAGACACCGTCAGAATCTGTCGTGTGTTTTTCCTGCTGGCCGGGAGCGACACCGACAATGTATGAAAGAGGAAATGGACAGACTAGTAGTGTTTTTGATAGTATATAGGTAAATGTGAGGGCATTAGGGACCTAACATACTGCAGAAAACATACTGTGAAAAGTTCTCAGTAAGATGTGCAGTTCCAAAATCTAAAGATGGGATTCTAATCTTAACCTTACTCTTTTTCTCCTATAAATTTAGTACTGCAAAGAATCAAGTCAAATCGTTCATCAGACTATTTGACTCATATATATTCAGATTTACTTTTGGATAAATTGCATGGCACCAGGAACATTAGTATCAGTTTACTCTGAATCACTTCCTTAAAGTATATTAATGCTTCAAATTTGTAAGATATAAAGGTCTTTCTATAAAAATATATGGCAGTTTTAGTATTTTAATTTGGGAGAGTACATAATTTTCTATTTTCTTTCATATAGTAACTCCTAAAGTACCTAAACAACTGGCTCAAGAAATTTTAAGTTTCCCTATCAATGAGAGACTCTTAACACCTTTGAACTTACTGAAGCTACTGCAAAGTCGGGCAGTAGAAACTAAACTGCTCACAATTCTGGAGCACACTCCAGTTATTCTGACTCCTGGCACCTCATCTTGTTTTCCGATAAAGTGAAAAGTTGGCCTCTCTGATTTTCCAACTAACTACACAGCACAGTATCACCAATGCTGATTTTTAACCTTAGTTCCTATATAGTACTCTAGACTTAATGAGTGAGAATTTGAGGGTGGTTTCCAGAATCTGTTCTTTACATTTCCTGTTACTAGTAAGGACCCTCTGGTCTAATCAACTACTAAAATTCTTTTTTCTGAATTTTCTTTTTCTCTTCTGTAAACCTGGCATTTGCGAGTATATATTCATTTCTAGGGCTTTGGTTGGTAACCACTTTTTTTTTTTTTAAATGATATTTTTCAGTAAAGTGGATCAACAGGTGTGCTGATTAAGAGTTCCAATAACTCCTCGTTAGTATAGTGGTGAGAAAAAGAAAAAAAAAAACAGAGTTCCAATGAGATGACAATGTGGGTTACAGTATAACAATGTATTTTCATAATTAATTATGGACCAGCAATACAGTTAAACTAAATACAGTTCATTCAAAGTATTCTGCATACAGAATTTATAGGCCACATTTATTTAATGACATCTAGTTGACACATTAAGGGCTACAGTCTAATTCTTAAAATTAAAGAAACAAAGTATTAAATAAATCTTTTTATGGCACAAGATACCATAAACTTATCTATGCAAACAGCAAATACACTTTTATGCTGGGAGGATGGGAAAAAAATTAAACTAAGCCAAAAACTGAAGGGTTGGGAATTTAGAAATAGCTGGTCAACTGAGGCATAATAGTTCCCTTTGGGAATAAGATAGCTTTTTTTTCTTGCAAAAACATTCCAAACAGTACATTTATTATTTAGCAAAACATCTTCCCTTTGATATTTTTCATCAGATTTGTGAAAAATACCTGTTAATTTCTTACAGTATTAATGCCACTGTTCAGATGCTGACCTATTGCATTTTATTGTAGTTATTTTTCTCAATGAACCTGTGGCCATCACAGTGAAGAGACTGAAACATTCTAAGGTAAATATCCGTCTTAGCCTTTATTAATGAATAAACTGGGGATTATTTAACGATTATCTACATTTCTAGTTCAGAAAAGAACTAGACAGACAAAACCTCTGCTCTAAGGTTACCCACAAGGTCAAACACTGATTCTGAACCACCACGGCCCTTTAATTTACCTTTCAGACTGTGTGCAGATACTGATTTCTACTGTAATCATGAAGTATTTTATTATAGACACTTATGGAATCCTCAGAGTGGGTACTTGTAAGTCTGTATGTGGACAAGAAACGTGCTTGGCTTTCTAAGACTATGTCAAGTACTGCTTTCAGTTTCAGTTTTTCTAACATACTCTCCACAGTTCTGCCCCACCTGTTGGCATTCTTTGTGACACTCTGTGACAGTTTTCTGTTACTCATTACTCTTGTTCTCGCCACTCATTCCTTTTGCCAAAGCCTGGTCATCTTTGCTTTCCTAATTTTGCTTGTTGTTATGCACTTTGGTGATTAATGTTAGCACTTCTTCAAAAGTTAGGTCTTCAATAAATGTAACTCATCAGGATTGCTGGTCAGTATTTCTTTAAGCTTTGTGGTGAACTTCAGACATTCACTGTAACAATATTCTTTCAGAATGCTATTCACAAATAGTATCTTCAAAGTTATTTCAGATGGACATAGTGGCACACGCTATGGTAGGAGGATCACTGCAAGTCTGAGACCAGCCTGGGTTACAAAGTCAGCTCAATGCCAGCCTGAACTGCATAGTGAGACCCTGTCTCAAAAACAAAACAAAACAAACATTCTTGAGGGTTTTTCTATAAAAAATGTTGCATTAAGAAACTGATAAAAGATTCATAACTTGTAAGAAATGTGCAACTCAGGAAAAGATGCTTCTCTATATCCTTACGTCCCACCATGACAAATATTAAGATTCTGCAACAACACTGTTAAGAACTTTAACAGTGACATTAGTTTATGCACACAATAAAGACATCTGTGGTTCTTTGATATTTAAAATTTACATAACACGTTACACTTGAAAACTTAAGTTACAAATAATGAAACAGTTAAACATCCATTGGGATGTCTATGGTGCTTATCACAACATGTGTATTGAAGGATCTGTATGAGGCTGTGTGATGCTATCAAGCAAACTGCCATCTATGATCCATAATCAATTGTTCTACATTTTTAACTCAAAGATAATTATGCAACACTTAGGAAATTTTAATTTTCTAAATGTACTCAGAAAAAATTATCACAATTATTTCCCAGGTAAAAAAAAATAGCTGTCTAGTGGCTGGGGATTTAGCTCAGCGGCCAAAGCGCCTGCCTTCTTACAAGCAGGCAGTCGTGAGTTCGATCCCTGGTACCGATAAAAATGAAAATGAAAAAGACAAAAAAAATAAAAAAATAAAAATAGCTGTCTAATCCATCTGCCACAAGTGATTTCCTTCCTGCGTGTGCTGTGGGGCAGCAGCCAGAACGTCCAGTGGTGGAGGCACCGTCCATTCAAAACCACTTCCTCTTCGCGTGAAGGGTGTGCACAGGGAGGGACAAGAGTCCCCTTTCACTGTTTCACTGACTCCTGATGTTTTCATTGTATGTTAAATGCCGAATTTCACTTTTATGACCAAATGAAAATAGCAATTTTTATTCTGAAAGGTAATTGTATGTTCCCAGAAGCAGATATTAGCACCTTCCAACACGATCTCTGGGGATAATTCGCAGCTCTGAGCCATGCTTTAGAAAAACATTTCCTGCACAAACAAACAAAGCATAAAATTAGGCATTTGAAAAATGACAAGTTATCTTTGTGTTCCAACAGTTACTGCATCCAACAAACAATACTGTTAAAAGTGAAGTCAGTACAAATGTTTAAGCACCATGAGAACCCAATTCCACGCCGTTAGGGTCTTGTTCCTATTCTTGCCGTGTCTTCACCACTCATCAAATGCTATCAGTTATAAAAATGCTAACAAATACAATCAGTAAATAAAATCAATTAGTTTAATCATGAATATTTCATACACAATAAAGCATCAAAGCTAAGGAAAACCATCTAAATTATAAAAAGTGACAAAAATTTAGATACAGTGAACCATTTGGGGTTAACTGTCTTCTGAGATTTTCTTCATGCTCAGTGATATACACAATTCAATAATAAGGCAATATAAACAATGTTGGTGTTAGCAGTAATTTAAACTAATAAAATTATATGGCGAAAATTGTTTCTTGAATTAAGAAAAGTTTGCTTTTAGAAATCATTTTTCAATTATATAAGATATGGCTTATGATGACAATATAGTTTTGCTATAATCAAAAAACTTGAGAATTAACAATTTAAAAGTACTGTTCAATGATGAGCTTATAATATATTACATCATGTATAGTTTAAAAAGACATAATTAGACCACTGGCTCAAAAAGACATTTAAAAAACTATAAAAACACTTTTGAAAGGTTAAGACTACTTATAATACAGTATAAGACTATCTTTACTTTGCCTGTTGATTAGCACATCCATCTATTACTACATTATGTTAACAGTTTAAAGATCTAAGTGTGGAATTGTGTAAATGACTATAGTTTAAAATAACAATAGCAGTTCTACTGTTATCCATGTATCCATGGATATCAATGTACAATGCACCCATTTAGGAGGTATGTCTAAGTCATTATTCCTATAGCACAATTTTACTTTCAGACTTTTTGTATTTAATGCTTAAAAGCCATCATTGGTTTTTCTGTTACGTGTAGCCAAAATCATGTATAACTGTCATATGTAATCAAATAAACCATTATTCATGTATTATTCATTATAAGCGTGCTCTATAATTTCTAAGTAATTGTTACACCCTGATGAAAATCCTGAACCTAAATTAGAATGAATTAAATATTTAGTATCGATGAACACTGTTAGTCCCAATGACACTTTATGCGTTTTCAGACAGATACTTACCAGCAGTCTGTGCAGGATTTATTCCTATTCCATCTACAAAATAAGTTATAAAACCAAGCAAATTATTTCCAAAGCTAAAATAGTAACAGTAAGAGCGTGCCAAAACAATGTGGCTAGTATGTATAGATACAAGTTGAACAATTTAAATCACAGAACATAAGTGAAAATCTTTCAGGTAAGTTACCTGTCCATTGAAATCTATTATTACTAAATATTTATACACATTTGATCAGACAAGAATCTGTCAGTGCAGTGATCCTACTAAGTTTTAGGGAAGACAGTTTTGTAATATACAAAAGAATAAGTCTGTCATTTCTTCCAAAAGGCTCAAGGCACTCCAGATATACCATTCATCAATTCCATACCCTCTGAGGCATGAAATCTTAAGGATAGAACAATCACAAAGTCATTTCTTTAAACTTCTACTGATACTTTGAAAGTTTCAAAACATTTCGCTCTAAACAGAAAAACTCCAGTGTGAAAACATGCATGGGGGGCTGGGGATTTAGCTAGCGGCACGAGAGCATGCCTGGCAGGCGTGAGGTTGCGAGCTCACTCCCCATTGCCAAAAATCATGCAGAATATTTTAAAGAGCGAAACCTGTCCTACCTAACATGAACCGTGGTACCGCATTTCAAACCCATCTCTTCTTCTGTCTAGTTTACAAGCACACGGACCACTTACAGCACACATTTATTATTGCTTCACTATTTTCTCACAGCACTAATTTCTCATCATACTTAACTATTATCAGCATCTCAAAATATTCAGGTTTTAATTGAACACTTAGCTGAATTAAATATTGGAAGCCTGTCAGAAAGTTTTCTACGGCAACACAACAAGGTATAATCAAAATACACTCCTGCTCAACTGTGTTTTCTGAAGCACTTTCTAACGCAGTATAATTTTACATAAATAATGACATCAAACTGCTTATTAAATAAAAAAGCTACTAGTTACTTTCAGAGGATAATCAGGAATGAAGTGATAAAAGGTACCAGAAATTATAAAGTGTTATCTATACCAGAGCACAAAGAAACTGACCAGAGCTAAGTAGAGGCAGTAAGCCTGACCTGTGTTTTAAGTAAATCATTTATGTTAATATATATTTAGAGTTTTTTAGACTATGTCAGTTTTAACGAAATTCTTCTTAAACACTGCCCATAGCTCAAAGGTAATAGTTTTAAAGAAATTCTTACCATTGGTGATAATTGCACTTGTTGCTGCAGGAACCTTAAACTAAAAGGCAGAAAAGAAACATAACTTTATAAATATGTAACTATAAAAGATGAGCAACAAGGATGGGCACATATAACCAATTCTGTAATTCTAAAGTGTGATTTATCTTTTAGAGTGAGACAAGATCAAAGTACTACCATTTGCTTTGTCTTTAAAGAACTCTATGCCCTAAATAATGTGTCTGATTGTATTAAGGATACTTGTGAATATAAAATGTTTTTTATTTTATTGGCTGTACAAATATAAAACCATCAATCTATGGCCAAATCAATGTTTACTTTCAAATGTGGACATGTCATTTTTAATACATATAATTCTCTGTACAAGAAAAACATACAAGCAAAATAAACTGAGGAGAATATTTCTAAAATTTCTTCGTAGAAATTTTAAGTTTCTAATAAATATTCTTGTAATTAATGGGAGAGACTTCCAGAAGGTCTTCAGATAACAACCAAGGCTCCTATTGTTTCTTACAATTCACATGATTTGCTGACTTAGTATCGCAAAGGACTTAAGTACTCTAATTACATCACTAGGAAAGAACAACTAAGTTCATTTAGGTGAAAGCCACTAAATAATTATGTGACTACCACACAGCCAACAGTCACAGTAAAACATCCTTGACCTACTTCATAAATGTCATATAAAAAATTCGATAAAACAAAGGAACATATTGATAAGTAGGTAGAGTCCATCACTTAATACTGTAGAGACCTGCAGTTGACTGTTTCTCTTAATCATTTGTTGACTTATCCAACGAGATGTATTTTTTAAACATGTCTGCACTACAGACTGATTTTGTAAACATTGTAGTTGAGTTCTGTGATCAAACACATTTCAAAAACTTGTATTAACCTAGTGGCCTTCTCAGGCGCCTTTAATATTCTACTAATATAATTTATTTATCTCTACAAAGGAAATGGTGAAGGAAGTCTTTCCTGGCCACTAATCCATTTTTCAAGGATTTTTTTTTTAAAAGTTATACAAGGTTTCTGTGTGTGGTTCTGCTCTAGGGAAGTATAAAGGCAACATAATTCTAGGTGTCTACAAAGGGTCATTTAAACGTAACTGATAAAAACAATTAGAAACTTTCAAATTAAAGAGGGTATGTCAACTTTTTAAAACTAAGAATCCTACAAAGCCTTTAGTTATCTTATCCCCATATTAAGATAAGATGTGCACTTCCTATCACATTCCCAAGTGACCACACACTTAATGTATTTTAAAAGCCAAAAGCAATTGCTAATACAGTTTTTTTCTCTAGAGTATGAAAGCAATAGTTAAGCTGAAATCTGGGGAAGTATCAATCGTGAAAAAAATGCTATTCTTTCCATCCATCCTTACTGATGTTTTCACCTGGATGCAATTTATTTAACGCTCCTCAGTTTTCATTTGTTTTCCTTCTCAGATTCTACAATTTTTACAACATTAGATGTTAAGAAGCCCTTCTTGGGTTATCACAACTTATGGCTTTCTGAATTAATTCCGTCGTGTACTGGGGAATTTTATTGTTTATTAAGAGAATTTTATCAGAGATTTAAATCTTGACTCTTGGTATACCAAGGAAACTTTGGTTTTCACTGAACAATTCCACCGTATCTTGTCCTGAGAGTTCCTCTCAAACTTTATTAATATATATGGTTGTATGACATTTGTTAATATCTATTGCACATTCCTTTATAATTGTTTCCACAGTCAGAAAACAACATAACAGTAATGCATTTACATTAAAAAAGACATTATAAAATAACTATACGCATAAAACAATGGTAATTATTAAACATAGCTTATTGAGATCTAATTCTTAAATCTGGTATCTGTTATAACCCTGGAATATTTCTGGCAAGCGATCTGTACAGCAAAAAAGTAATCTTGACACTGAACCAGAATATATTCTATGTCTCCCCTCATTTTATTTCTCTCTCAGTATCAACAGCAGATCAAAATCAACTTAAAACAAATACTACCACTTTGAGTTCGATTCTGAGTAAGTAAAAAAATGACAGTGGTCTCTGAGATATTTTACAAGGAGTTGTGAGCACACAGACGGGTTGACTGACTTCCAATTAACCATTAAACATAGAGCACAGCTATTAATTAAGCTAGTTTCTTACTTAGTTATTACAACAATTTTTCCGTGACTATAAATTTTTCTTATGATTCTCTACCAAAGTATTTAAATTTCACTTAATCTGAGCCTCTCTACCACTTTTCATTTTACAAAATTTTAGTGAATACTGTATTTTAACACAAAATCATTTAGGAAGCACATGTAGGATTAACTACTATCATTTTAGATATTAAGAAAATGAGGGTTGAGAGGTTGTGGTCAGTGGTACGCCATTTGCCTGGCATTCCCAAGGCCTTAGCTTTGATCTGCAGCACTGAAAAGCTAAACAAAGAGCAACAACAAAGAGTGTGGTGAAAAAATTGTCCCATAGCATACAGCTAATCAGGACAAAACTAAAGCACATACGGAAAGTCTTCTAAGTCATATTTTAATGCCAGTTGTACCAGATAAGGCCACTCTTCCAAGTCTCATGTACAGAGTTGCTTATAGATGCTTCTGATAATTTTGCAGAGAGAATTCTTATAAATTCTACCATGTTTTAAAAAACTAGACATTTTTTCAAAAGAAATTTTATTATCTGATAAGCCACATGATCATGCAGAAAACCTGAAAAATGTGATAGATTTTTTAAATTATAGTTTTAGAATTAAAACTAGAAAGTCTTGGCTTACAGAATATATGATGATATAATGTTTTTTAAAAAAAAAATTTAGGTATCCAATGATACCTAAAGGTACCAAAGGTACCAATGTACCTTTAAGTTCAATGAAAGATCTTACAATTTTCAATGGACACATGAAATATGTCAATTTGTCATTTACTTTGTATTTAAAAATGAATTTTACTATACTTATAACTTTTTTATAGCATAAACTTAGCAGTAAAACCACAGGGAAATGGTGGGTGACGGTACACAAAATTTTTTTAGCAGTTTGAAACATAATGCCAAGTCCAATTCCGTAAAGGTTACTTTAATTTTCATACTTACTTCTTCTGCTGCAAACTTTAAGACTGCTGTGAAAGGTGTACTTTCAGGAACACTGAGTCTGTGAGAACAGCCAAAAAGACATTTCAGAGGTTAAGTTTTTAAACCCTGTGTCTCTTTACTCCTTGCAGTGAAATCTATCTGAAGAAAGCTGTCTTTTGAGTTTAAAAGTTGACTGTTTTGAGTGTAACAGCAAACTAATCCTAAAAACAAAAACCTTAAAATACTTAAAAGTAAACAGCCTTAAAGCAAGTGCCCAAAGTAGCACCTGAAAACTAATAAATACATATGGATTTACATAGTTTTATCATTTTGATATAAGTTAGTCTAGTGTGTGGGTGGTTTGGTTTCTGGATTTGAGTTTTACAAGGTGAATCTCTCCTTGGTTCTCATTGCCACATCTCTAAATTCCTTTACATCTACTGCAGGAATACGATCATTTTCTTTAAAAGTGGAAGTTACTTGGATAAACCCTCACATGCAGGCTTAATAAAAATGTCTGAAATAGTAAACCAAATTGATGAACAAATGGTAAAAACGAGCGAGTTTTCACTTCATCCAAAAAAGAGCGTAGTACAGTATGAAATAACATTTTGGAAAGGGATGTGTCATTTTGTTAACTAACTTGTCAATGGAAAATGTATTAGTTAAAAGGCTTTTTAAAAAATGATTTTGTCCCAAAGTCAAATCTGTAAGAATTTTCCAGTTTAAAAAAAAAAAAAAACTGACATTATACTTAAAAATTACAATAAAAGGTTTTACAAAGAAGCAAAAAAGTTACATTCCCTAAGGTAAAATAAATTATAAAAATTAAAAATAGAAAATAATCATTTCAGGCAGGAAAAAGAGAAGCTAACATTTGTCTTTGAAATTTTCCATTAGTAATTATCACATCCATCTCTAATGTCTCAATATTAAAGACAACATTAGGTGCCATTATGTAAGATAATCAGGTATATGTCCAGGTTCCTCAGTTAGTCTACAGATCTCTGAATACGTGGCTAGTTATTTTTCTTTCATTCCTGAGACAAAACAGCCAACATCTAAAGCTAAAGAAGGAAAGATTTATTTAGCTCACAGTTTGTAGAGGTTTCAGTCCATAATTGGCTGGCTCCAACGCAGGTTGGCATACAGCAAAGGACAATAGTTCATGGTCAAGAACACAGCAAAAGTTTCTTTTTTTTTCCTACTTGAAATGATTATCTATTTCCTATTTTTAGTCTTTGTAATGACTGTACCTTAGAAAGGTTACTTTTTATTAACAATGTCTGCTACACATAATGATCACATTTCTTGTGGGAAGCTGGTGCATGTACATAATCATTTTTTCTTCATCCTTTTCCCCTTCCCTCTTCACTTCTCCTTCAGCAAAAGATCTAGTTCTCTATTTTGTACTACCTATTTTGTATTTTGCTTTCCACTTATACATTGTGTTTCTCATATAAGAGGAACCATATGATAACTTAAGCTTATGTATCTGACTTCTTTCATTAACATTAGTGTCAAGGTACATCCATTTTCCTATAAATGACTCTGCTTATCCCTCTTTATAGTGAAGTGGTACTCCACTGTGTATAAACAACGCATCTTCTTTATCCATTCATAACTGCTTACAGACATATGAAGCACTTCCAAGAGTTGCTATTATAAATTGTGCTACTATAAACATGGGGATGCATATATCACGACATATATGATGTTTTTAAATCTCTTGGAAAGATACCTTGAAGAGGACTAGTTGGGTCCAATGGAATTTCTATCTTGTTTTTTTGTGGTTTCCACAAAACTTTATTGAAGTCTTGTTTTTTGAAGTATTTAATAGGATTTTCAGTTGAAATAACTTCAAAGAGTGTCAATGTAGAATCTTCTAGATGGGTACATTTTTAGACCTAACTGCTAAGGGATAAGGAAAGGTCTCACATGGATAAAGTTCCTATTCACATTACCTAATTCTATGAACACCACTTATTACATCCCAACATAAATGTGATTTGAGGTTCATTACTTTGTAACACCCATTACTGAGTTGTATACAATACAAAATAAAAAGCTTGACAGAAAAATAAAGAAAGAAGCACAAGGTCGTGAGTTCAAGCTTGACAGTAAAAAGTAATCAAATAGTTTTGAGTGTGCTTTGAGAAGTATCGTCTAGCTTCCCTCAACAGCTGGCAAAGAGCTGAAAGACCTTTCCAATCACCAGGTGACAAGAACTGCTTAAGAAGAGCAGCAAACTACTGATGCTCTTGTCCAAATACCTTCCTGGTTCACTCGCCCACCAAATTAATTCCTAGGGAGGTCTGCGGTCAGCACAAACTCTGCAGTCATTCTTCCTGGCACCTTCGTACTAGGGCCCCGAAATACACGGGAGCACACAGTGAACCTCTCCTTTCAGGTTCCTGGAAAGTCACCGACAGAAGTAGGAACGCAGACTGCGTGAAATGGGAGGGTCTGAAAAGCTCCGAACACCTACAGTCCAACCGGACCTGCACAGCAGAGGCCCCAACAGGCGAGACGATACTCACACTTTGTATGGCAGCCGCGGGTCAGACGTCAGCGTGATCTTAAAGGAAACCTTCGACCTGAGGACGCAAGGAGAGAAAATTAGGATCGGACAGCAAATTAGGGACTGGGGCGGTCAGCTGAGAAGTAAACACTTACATGGTGGACCGACAGACCAGGGCTGGACACCCGCGACACTCCAACTCCGCTCACCAGCCCACTTCCTGGGCAAAGGAGGAAGCATTCGGTTCCGCCCCACTCAACTCCACGTCTCCCTTTGCAAAACGGGGTCCTCCAAAGCTGCTGCTGTCCAAAGCACTGCCTGAAAATCCAGCGCAAATGCTTAAGATAGGCATAACTTTAACCTTACAAAATCCTACTGTTTTTGTATTTTTGTCTCTGAAAAGAAAGCATCTGTGATATGGAAAGGATGATTTTCTTACATCAGCTATGTGCGTTCTTACTTGTAGTAAGGCAGCACAAGTGTAGGACTCTATATATTAGGACCCTAGGTCCCACCAGCAAGTGAGGGCGGAAGTAAGGGTAGAGGATCCGAAGAAAAACTAGGAGACGGACTGTAGATGGGGCGGGGTGGAGTTGCGGGGAGCGCGGAATGTGGAACGTAGTTGGACGCGCTCACTGTTGCTAAGGTAACCGGTACACCAGACCACTACTCTGATGCTCAAAGATTCTAACTTCTTTTATCAATAGTTTTCTTCTTTCTTTCCAATAATCCAATCCTGTTCTACCTTTTATATCCATACTACTTTTCCATTTACTTAAATAATATTTAATTTTCACAAGAAAAAGTTACAAAAAATTAATATTTAGAAACTCATACTCAGGTACTTGAGAAAGACAAGATCCCAGCACTTGACAGAAGTGAAGTCTAGCTGGAAAGATTGAATAATAGATTTCAATAGTTTATGATGTGGTCTAATATGATTAAAGCCAGGGTGCGAGATTGTTAATCACTGGCCACATTTATTCAATTTAAAAACAAAGTTTGAACTCGTCCTGTGTGACACATCCTAAGCTAAACGCTGAATAATACAGGTACGTGCTGCTCTTTAGGATGGAGTTGGTGGTGCCTTCATAATAAGGAGGCTCGTCTCCATTATTACGAATCTAAAAAAATCTGTACATAAAGTGTACATTTCCTTCACAATGACGTAGTACTCTTTTTAAGTAATTCTGTAATGAATATATAAAAGAGGAAACAAGAAGGCATTACTAGTATTGGAAGGTTTAGAAAATGTGTCACATTCTTAAGAATTTAAAGAGACTGCTATGGAAGGAAATATAGTCCAGATGCTGAAGGCCAATTGCATCTTTGCTATAATTTTGTATCCTACTTATTTATGGTGAGATATCACAAAAGAAGCAGTACTTGTTCTGACTGTCGCAAAATAAGACTCCAATATTCTCAAGACAGTTACCTTCACTTGTAAAATTATAGGTGTTGCTAAATATAGAGATAGAGGCAGGTATTAATTGATTTGCAGATCGAAAGTTCTATCTGTAATTGCTAAAACTGTAGTGGACAGGACCAAGATGTGTGATGGTGTCCACACTGTGTGAGCTAGTCAAATAACAAGAAATCAATGTACATATACATAGTCTCTCTAAGAATATGTGTGTGTGCAAATATAAAATATCCTGTTATTCTGTTACTTAGTTTGCTTTCTGCTCATGGATACAATGTAACAAAATTCTAAAGATAAACACATAGTTTGATCAGAGAATTTCTGTTGTATGTATACAAAGTAGTGAAGAGAGTATTCAACTCCAAGCAGTTAGCCCCAATATTCAGATTCGGGTGCCACTTGATAAAATACTTTCGCATAACATTTCAAAATAACAGAAGAAAAACTATATTCTCAAAAATATGAAAACATGTGTATTTCTAAATGTTTCCAATTTTTTTCCTATTCCAACTCCCCAATTTTGTCTCCATATGTTTGTCTACTGGAAGTCGTAACATAATTTCTGAATCTTTCTGATTTTTTCCCAGAAGGGAAGTTATAAATGGATTCACTTATACTCAATATTTTAGTTTTTTTTTTTAAGTGTTTCTAAGCCTTTGCAATTGGGAACTTTTACAGCAAAAGGAGGACCTTCTAATTTGCTTAAAAGTTAAAAATGCTGAAGTACATTTAATGAGTATAAACAAAAGCCAACTCTAGAGCAAATTTAGGAGATAATTGACAAATGTAACATTTTAAGACAACTAACAGCATAAATGGTCTAATGTGGTTTGGAAGAGATGCAAATTAGAATCATGTAGAGGCGGAAATGACTATAGAATTAACAATGTGGCCATAGTAGATCTTATTAAATGTTAGTGAATTATGCCAATATTCTGTTACACAGTATGTAAATTTCTCATTATTAGAATGAAATAAGGAAATTAAATTCACTTGAACACTAAGGAGACATAAAGATCATCTCTCTGGTTATTTGTATATATAGTCTTAAGTAAATAAAAATGTACCAAATTTGTTTGCCAAAAACAAATAAAGTGATTTATCTTCTTTTCTACCTTATTCATACTGTATTTATGGGTATGATTAGGACTACTTAATAGTCTAATTATGTAATGCTTAAAAGTTTATACTAAGAAAAATCTTGGATCTATTCCAAACATTTTATGTTGCAGGAGACAAATTATACTAAATTTGTAATTTATAAATACTGGTAAATTTGTAATGAATTTATATTGATCAAATTTACATTTGAAAAATATATTTATTTTTAATTATTGACAGAAATGTTTTCTTGTTGACACAAATGAAGTCACCATTCTATAAACATGATTAGCAGAATGCTATCAAGTGAGAACCTCAAGAAACGTCATGCAAAGTCAATGAAAAAAGCATGGTGTGAGTGTATGGCAGTGCTGCGTTGATCCTGAAGGTAAGGACCAGGGAACGCTAGACCTGTGACTCCAGAAAGAATTGAAATACAGACCACATGTGAGCCTAGTAAGGCCAGTTAAAGCCCTTTCACAGGGCTGCGTCATTAAATATACTACAGGCACTAACTGTGTTTATATGCCTATCACAAATATTTCCTAAAATTTACTGAAAGGAGAAAATAAAGACACCCAGGAAGATCACTGTTTGCAGATGTAAAACTTGGTCACAAAATTTACAATATTTTAACCACAGGAATTGTTAAATCAACAAAAAGCATTTCAAGTTGCAAAAAAGCAGATATTTAACAATCGTATACTTAAAAGTTGTCTCTATTTCAAAAATTCTTTATTTAATGGGATTATCACTTGTTACAAAAATAGATCTGGCAGGTCTATCCCAAACATGAGTTGGCTTCTTCCACACATAGATTTGCTGATTTTTATCAGTAGGAGTATTACCAGGTCAACAGTATCAACATAATGAATATATTTTCAAGGAATAAAAATAGTACATAGAAGTAAAGTATTCTAAATTTAAGAGAGTGGCTGGAACTACACTGAATTTAAAATCTAATATTAAAAACTGAGTTTAGTCAACTTGCTTATGCTGTTCTCAAGCCATGGGTATTGTATTTTTTACATTTCAAATTGAAAGTCTGATATTTGTAGATTGTGCCAGATACAGTAACTTTTTATTATTTTATATTTTATAATTTTATTATTTTAATGCAACTATAGGAGCATTTTGTGTTATGTCAAAATGGAATTCAGAAATAATCTTTATGCTCAGTAAAGATAGTACCACTCTAGAAGATCTTAGAAATCTCTCAGGGCATTGTTGGTTGCTAGAATGATTGAGTATAAAAATGACACATAGAACCTAATTCAAAATTTTGAATGACCATAATTTTTTCATACTGGTAAGTGAAGAATAAATTGGTACAACTATTTTAAGAAAATGATTTGGCAGGATGTACTAAACTGAACAAACAAATTCACCTACACTCCCACATTTCTACTTTGTGGTTTACATCTAATAAAAATACATGTTCATCAAAAGACATGTATAAACATATTTTAGCATTATTCTATTGTAGTAAATTCCAAATGGGTCTCGCTCAGATGGTCATCTACAGTAGAGTAGACAAATTGTAAGATATTCATACTATGCAAAACTATCCAGCAAAGAGTAATTAAGACAGTATCACTCCATTCAAAAATAGGGCTGTATTTCATAAATACAATGTTTAGCAATAAGCTGGGTACTGAAGAGTACAACTTGAAGGAATCCATGTATATAAGGTTCAGTATCAGCAAAATAACTGATTTATTGTGTCATACAAAAAATAAAGTTTACTTTTACGGGAGCATAGTGACTGGGATGGGAACAAAAGGGGCTTCAGAGTATCAATAACAGCTTTTCTTGAAGGAGGTACAGATTATACTGCCATGTTTACTTTGTGAAAGTTTATCAGGCTACAATTTTATAATATGTACTTTTATTTATGTGTATTACATGGCAATGAAAAGATTGTCTTTTTAAAAAATCTCCCAAAGGAAAAGTGAAAAACAATCACAACAAAAATGAGTAGCAGCGCTCCTAGAATTTTAACGGGCAGAGTGCCAGGGAATGAGCAATGCAAGATGAAAGGGAAGAACAGCAAAACAGGTGCCAGTGCAACATTATTAGAGACCCTTTGCACAGGTGTAAGTTATTGAGGATCCCTGCCATGAGCTTAGGGTACCTGGTTATACCCATGTACCCTTAGGTTAGAGTACCCGGTTATACCCATGTACCCTTAGGTTAGGGTACAAAGAGAGAGGAGAGCAACAGACAAAGAAACGGTACATCAGGGGATTCTGGAATGACCAGCTGCTCCTGGGAAACAAAAGGCCCCACATCTCCAGCCAGCCACTTTATTAGCCAGTACAGGGAAGGAGCAGGGCACTTTTCCTGGAAAAGCATAGAGGCAGTAGTAGAATGGGCAAATTTAACATCATAAAGGAAACAAGCCAAGATCCATCTCCTGACCTAGGTGCTAATCTCATTCATCAAGAAGCAGGATTTCCACATTCTGAAACTGACCCACAAGGCAGGCAGGGTAAGGATAGCCTAGAACAGATACTATGTCAATTTATAAATCATGGGACCCAACTCAACATAGGTGTGAAAGGATTTATAATTTTTTCCTGATACTTTCCAAGACTTCCTTAGCCTTTTGATAAGTAAGGTCATCAACAGTTATGAGTCAAAACATTTGTATTTCTAAGTCAGCATAGCTGGGTCAGAATATCCATGTTGACATATCTTGGTACAGATATTAGCTAACTGAGTATGACTGCACAACTTCTCTGCATAGGCATGACAAAACATATTGAAATGGTATCACGTGACTATAATTTACTTTCAGTTTCTTATATTACAGATAGGACAAAGTATATATTTTTTAAAATTTTATTTATAGACTTTCAAAGATCAATATTTAAGATACAAATGAATCGTATTTCTAAATGCGGGATAATATATAAACTTTAGCCAAAGATCATTCTTACATCCAAAACAGTCCAAAAATTAATCCACTTGTGCATTGAGGACGCGCCTTGTTAAACTATCTGGAGAGGCAGATCTGATGGCAGTGAGGGTGAGTGTGGGATGGAGTTTTCATTTTTATTTCAAGTTCTTGTACCAGATCTTAATGCTTTACTCTCACATTAATCTATGGGATAATTATCCCATAATTTACCCATCTTATAGTAGAAATTAAATTCCAAAAGAAGTCAAATGTCATCTAAATTTATACAAGTCTTCACTGTCTTAAGAAAGTTTAATTTATCATAATGTCAAATAATTATCAAAGACACTTAAGAAATAAAATTAGAATGCCATAAAATAACAAAAATGACATTTAAGAATATATTTAAAAATCAGCAAAAAACAAAGATATGGATGAACCAACATGTTATTTAGGAAATTTTGTTTAAAAATAAAATATAGTAATAAAAGTCAAGAACAATGCCATAAATGATAAATAGTAGAAAATGTACTTCAAAATGGATCATGCTACTTTCAAATGACATAAAATACTATGTTACAAAGAAGGAAAGATCATTTCTATATTACCTGAGTTTTTTTGCACTTAAAATCTTTTACAAATCAAAGGAATTTTCCTGAGGGTAAAATGATTTTAGAGAAAAATTTGCCATAAGTTTCTATTTTACTGTTCTATTATACTGTACTTTGTAAATTGTATTTCTAGATTTATATTCAAATATTAAGAAACATTTTCTTTGTGATTTTCTTCAGTAGTATATTATAGATATTTACCTTGAGTTGCAGCCCTAAGCATTATGGTCATCAGAACAGATTTTTCACTTGATTAATAAGTTATTAGTTGCTAGGATATGGATTATGCTGCCAGATGCTTTCAAAATACTAAAACCACTTTGGTATCTACATTACTCACATCATAGATTCCTATGTTATGAATTCAGTCATACTCCTTCATTAACATTAAAATATTATTTTAATTTATGTCTATTATTCATGGATGTATGATTTTTTTCATTTTTAATTCCCAGTCACGCCTAATAAAAGTGACAAACATCTACTGATGATATTCTCTTATATTTGAACAGCATTCTACTCATTTTTGAACTCTGTCATTTTATTGCATTTTTTAAATTTCTACAATGAAACATATAAATCATTCAGGTTAGGTCTGATGTCTCTTGAAAATGATAAAACTAACAAAGAATTATACCTGTAGTTTGTGAGAGAATGTTTTTTTTTTCTTTTTGATACAGGGTCTCACTATGCAGTTCAGGCTGGTCATGAGCTCACTTTGTAGCCCAAGCTGGTCTAGAACTTACGGTGATCCTCCTGCTTCAGCCTCCCAAGTACTGGGATTACAAGAGTGTGCCATCACACCCAGCTAGTTTTTATTTTTTTTTACTTTATGGAAAAAAGGTAAAACAAAATTTCATAACAAAATAGTAGAACAATAACAATAGTAAATATAGTACATGTTGTTATTTTTAACGTTCATGGCACAAGGGAGGGGCATAAAATGGCTTCAGTCGATATTAGCACAAACCTTCCTTTTTAGTGAATTAGGGATACTAATAACATAAGTGGCTTGCCTTTTTTCCTGTTTCCTATTGTCCTTTCTCCTTTCACCCATCCTAGTTCCTTTTTCCTTTAGAACAATTTCTTCTCATTTCATAGTATCTATTGTACATTTTATTCTTTATTTACTCTTTCAGTTTCTTCATGCCAGAGAAACAACATGAATTTTGTACCTGTGAATCTGATTTATTTCACATGATTATAGTCTCAAGTTACATTCACTTACCTATAAAAAATCTCAAGTTTATCCTTCTTTAAAGCTGAGTAGTAATGCATTGTATAAAAATATCCCATTTATTTATCCATTTCTAGGGTGATGGGCATTTGGGTTATTTCCAAGATTTAGCTACTACTAACTTCTATTAACACAGCTGCACATATATTGCTATGGAATGATGTTTTCAATACATCTTCGAAAATACCCACAAGAGTAATTGGGTTGAATGGAACCTCTAATCCTAGCTTCTAAGGAATATCCATATGATTTCCACAGTGGTTTCACCAATCCACATTTCCAACAATAGTGGAAAACTATTTCTTTTTCCCTCTATTCTCTACAGCATTTGTTATTGGTTGGTTTCTTATGATAGCCATTCTTTCTGGAGAGAGGTATAATCTCAGATTGTTTTAATTTGCATCTCTTGAATGACCAATGATGTTAAACATTTTTCATATATTTATTTACCATTTCTATTTCTTCATCTGAGAAATATATATTCATCTCAGATGCCCATTTTTGAATTGGGTGTTTGAATTTTGGGGGTCTGATATTTTTCAACTCTTTATATATTGTAGATAGAAGCCCTTTATCTGAGAAACAGTTGTCTAAATTTTTTCCCACTCTTTGAGTTATATTTTCACTCTGTTGGTTCTTTTGAAGTGCAAAAGCTTTTTCATAAGATTAGATCCCAGTTGTTGATTCTTTGAAGTGTTTCCCACACAGTCTGGGTTTTGTTCATGAATTCTCTACCTATGCCTATGTCTTTAAGATTTTGCCTACTTTCTCTACTAGTAGATTTAGCACTTCTATTTTAATATTTAGATATTTGATCTGTTTTGAGTTCAGTTCAGTTTATAGTGACAGACACGGACCTAGTTTCATTCTTCAGCATGTAAAGAGTCATTTCTTCCTGCACCATTTACTAAAGAGGCTGTCTTTCTGCCAGTGAACATGCTTGGCCCCTTTGTCAAAGACAATGTGACTGAGAGTGTGGTGTTTTTTGCATTTTCTAATTGGTTCTAAGGTCCTCAAGTCTGTATTTTTGCCAGTTCTATGTTGATTTTATCACAGTAGCTTTCTTATATAATTCAAACTCAGAGGTAGTGATACCTCCTGTCTTGCCTTTTTGGCTGAGGATTGCCTTTGCTATTCTAGGTCTGTCCTGGCTCCAAATGAATTTTAGGAACATTTTCTCCTGTTCTGTGAGGTATTCTAATGATATTTTGATCATGATTGCCTTAAATTTGTATAAAAATGCTGGGAATTTGTCCATTTTCACTATGTTGGCTCTTCCTATCCATGAATAAGGTATATCTTTCCATCTTCAAATACTTTCTTCAATCTCCTTTTTTCAGACTACTGAAATTTTCAACATATAGATCTTTTACTTCATTTGTTAGATTGGTTCCTAAGTACTGCATTTCTTTGGATGCTACTGTGAAGAGTGTGGTTTTCCTAATCTCTCAACAAGTTTGCTGTCTTTGTACAGGAATGCTAATGATTTTTGAGTGTTGACTTTGTTATCAAATCTAGAAGCTTTTTGGTGAAAACTTGGGGTTCTTCTATGTAGAGTATATGTCACCTGAAAGTAATGATAATTTAATTTTTTTTCTTTTCTATCCTTGTTTCTTTTATTTCTCTCTCTTGTCTAATCACTCTGGCTAGTCTTTGCAGAGCTACATTGAATAGGAGTGGTGAGAGTGAATATACTGTCATTTTTTGATTTTAGAGTGAAGCTTTCAGTTTTGACCATTTAGTATGAATTTGACTATGATCGATGGTTTTTATCAAATGGAGACAAAGACCATCTATTTCAATTTTCTATAGTACTTTTATCATGAATGTGTTTGGACTTTAATGCTTTTTCTGCGTTTATTAAGATGATCTTGTGATTTTTGTCTTTGGCTCTGTTGATGCAGTGTGTTAAATTTATTGATTTGCCTAATGTTGAATCATCCCTGCATTCCTGGGATGAATCCCATTTGGTCATGGTGTATAATTTTTATGATTTGCTATGTTCTGTTTGCCAATATCTTACTGAGAATTTTTGCATTTATGTTCATTGCGGAGATTGGTCAGTAGTTCTGTTTTTTTTGTTGGGTCTTCCTTTGGTTTTGGTATCAATGTAATATTTGCCTCCAGTAATGAGTTAGGGAGAACGGCTTCCCTTAGAAGAATACTTTAAAAACCACATTATTGATATATGTGTACAAAACTTATCTAACTTAATCCGGTAGAAGCTTATATCATTATTTATTTTTAGATATAAATAATTTAGTCAGTGTAATCATTTGATCAGCTTAATATTCTCTGTAAAGTAAGAATCTTGAAGATATAATAACTAGGTTACTATGGCTGAATGAGTGAATTTCCATTGTTTTTAGTAAAACAATAGTGTAATTGATCAGTCAAATTTCCCAAATGGGTTTCTGAGTTAAAATTGTATAAAACTTATATTTGTAACATAAGTTTTCTAAATTTCCGACTGAAACTCACCAATGAAAGCATTAATCAAAATTGTGAGCAATGAATAAGAAGCAGTGTTCCTAGACATGGGTTTTGAGGCAGAAGGTTAGGCACAAGTTGACTGGGCAAGTGAGTATGATTTGTCAATCACTGAGGTATAGAACTCAAGTGCAAAAACACCAGTTACAAATCCTGCACCTGGGATCAACTAGAAAGTACTATCTTCAATTCTGCGGGTATGAGATTAAACGGGTTTTAATGGCCTAGATCTGACTCAGTGTAAGGAGGAGGGAATACAAAAGTTATCAACCTAACCCCATGACTAGTGTTACTCTTTCTCTGTGACCCACTCTCTGCAGAGTGCATTTCCCTTTCTAATTTTAGAATTAGCGTGTACTCACCCTGTGGAGCATGCTTCTTTTCTTACATTTACTAAGTGTAAAACCTTGCTACCTGTAGATATTTTGTCCCATGTTTTGTTTAGGACACCAATAATGTGGAAAGTATCTTTGAAAAGAGCCCACAAAGTCACACAAACCTGGTAATAATTTGTCAACACTGCTTTTTAAAAAAAGCATTCTTTATGTGGAGCTAGTGAGATTGTAATATAATTTATTGACTGTGCACTGTACATGTTAAAATTATAACATACGTACTAGTACAGGTTGGCAGAGGTTGTGCTCACACTTCCTCTGTCTCTTATTTGGTTAAGTATTAACTAGGTCACTTGTCGCGTTAATTGCTCAAAGCCTACACCAATAAGAAAAATACAATCAGCATTTGCTGGGGCAGTATTTTACTTCTGATAACACAGAACCTCTCCCAGTGCCAACTACTGAGAAAAACCTAATGTCTTTATGTATCCTTCCCCTTTGATTTAAATTGTATTGGTATCTGACTTTCTCTTACCTCTCTAAAATCATCCACTTGACCCTCATGCAGGTCTAGGTGTCCATAAAAAGAAAAAGATTGGTTCTCTTCAGAAAACTTGTTTCTAATTCTATAATTTGAATCATACCTAAAGCAAAGGTTCATGGGGTTCTAACTTCTTAGTAATTTGGAAAGTTACTTCCATTCTCTACTTGTTCTGTTGTCCTTTGCTTTATAATGTTATATATATATATTTCTTCATTCACTCTAATGCTACAAGATATTTTTATTGTTTCAGTTTTAAATCATAAGTTATCTTTTAAAGAACTTCACAAAATAAACCTAGCTCCTATCATTGAACTAAGGTAAACTATTATAAATAGTATAAACTACTATGGTAGTGTAAACAGACTAGCATATATATTAAAATAGTTTTGAAACAATGTAATAGCTAATTTGGGAAAGTATTTTTATTTTTCCCTACCTCCTATTTATTTTCTATTTTGCTCATTATATTTACCCGCAGAGTCACCATACCTGACACTTTTCACTCATGTGAATCCAGATTTCATTCTGACCTTTCATATTAATAATCTCCTTTAAATATTTCTTGAATCTATGATTGTTGGCCACAAAACAACTCGGCTTTTTAAATAGCCTTTACTTCACCCTTTCTCAAAGATGTTTATTTCTAGGTATGAAGTTCTAATTTTTTTCTTTTAGAACTACTTGACAAGAAGGCTACTAATAGGCAATGGACATAGTTTAGAGGCACAGTGCCTGTCTGACAAGTATGAGGTTATTAGCTTGATCCTCATTACACAAAACAAAACAAAAAAACCACCACAACAATACAATTTTTATGGATGTTGTTAACATGTTATTTCAATATGAATGACCTAATATTTGAAAATAGCACATTTAAAGATATGTATTACAAACTCTAGAGAAGTTCTTGAAACAAAAAGAATTTTAGCTAATAAGACAATAATGGAGTTAAAAGTAATCGTAAAAATTAAATCAGTCCCACGGCAGAAAAAGAGGAAAAAAAAACAGTGACAAATGGAAAACCAAAAATAACATGGCAGATTTAAGGATCAACCATATTGATACCTATAATGAATATAAATATTCTGAAAACATCACTAACATTTCAGAGATCAAGATAAGCCTTCACTGAAAGTGCAATGGTAAAATTTTAGATAATTATGTGTGGAAATGAGCTTAAGAGAATTTATGTCTACTTATGAAATGCTGATATAGAATTTAAGTGTAAGACTGGCAA